AGAAAGTTTGCCCTCTTCATCTTAAAGGTTACTTGTGCCTCAACTAATTACCCAGCATCAAATCAAGTTCTGTTTCTTCTACCCCAGAAAGGAACTTCACAAGAAAAAAATCAACTGTTTAGGATTCAAATCCTCACTAGGCTAGGCTCAATCACCAACTCACTTGCCTCTTGTTCCAACTTCATTCTCAGCCTCATTCATTTTAGCTCTCAGTCTCCCACTGTTATTATCTCACTGCCCTCATTCAACTTGTCCACTTCCATCACACTTTTCACAAAAAATTTCTTCTCTTTTCTACAAAAAAAATTCAATCCAATCCTCTCATTAACTTTCCAAACAACTGCTGAATTCTTTGCAAGTCCTTCCTACATTTACCTCACTAATTTACTTCAAATAGCAAATAATCTCTACCTAACTCAAAACAACCAAATAAACAGAAAACCTCCTACAACTCTAAAAACAGCAAATCCAATCAAAACAAAGAAAAATCAGCAAACAAAATACAAATACCTAAAAACAGCAACTGAAACAGAAGAAAGGAATTAAAAAAAATTTCTAAAGAGCAAACATGGTTCACTAGCAGACATGGTTCAACAGCAGAGTACTCTCCCCCAAACTTATCTTCAACATTGTCCTCACTGTTGTGCCTCATACAAGTTACACAAACAAAATTTTTGCAAGTAAGATCAGTGTAACCTGAGGCCAGAAGAAGTTCTGGCCTATTCCTCTTGATAATCTGAGTCACCTGACTCAGATTTATCCACATCTTCAGATTCTGATTCTGAATATTGCATTTCTTCCTCTTCTTCATTGTCATTCACTTCCTCCATGGCATCTTTTGTCCTCGGCCTTCCCGTCTTCCTTGAGCTAGATGAGGGGTCCTCCTTTTTGGTAGGCTGAGGAGTTGCCTCTTTCCTTGTAGATTGAGGCTGAGGAGGATTACCAGCAGCTCTTGCCATGAATTCCTTTACCTGAGGATCAACAAACACTGAGGAAGGTGGCTAGGTTAAATCATCAGGTAATGAAGGTAAACCAGGGAAATTTACAAAAGTATTTTTCAAAAAATCATTCAAAACTTTCTCCCTTTCTACATTGTAATCATGAAATCTGGCTTTATTATACATAAAAGAGTAAATTTGATCATATGTTTTCTCAAACAACAAGTCCATTTTTTTGTTATGATCTTGCATTTGCATGAGCACTTTATGTATGTGAACCAGATTATTATGGAACCAGCCTGGGAACATCTGGTTTTCAGTGGGAGGACCCATAGTCTCCAGGTGTTTTACAATATTTTCAGCTTTCTGCCGCTGAGAACTTGCAGCATTAGGGACAAATTTCCCTTTCTTTTCTGGGGGAGAAGACTGAGTCTTCTCCTCTTCAACCACCCCTTTCAACTTTTCTTTACCCACTGTTTCCAATTTTTTCTTTCAACCGAGGGTGCAGCAATGCCCTTTTTTAATTTATTAATGATTTTCACAGTTATAGCCTCACTTACTTTAAAGAACACATCAGCTGGGTTTGCTGAGACACCCTTTTTCTTGCATAACTGAGATATGAAGCTGGGGAACCGGAGCTTGCCTTTTCTACCCCCAGCACAAGCTCCAATTCCCGAAAAAACCAATTTGGCAGCATCTACTGGTTTCCCAACCAATAAACACCACAACAAAACAGCCATATCCTTAGTCACTAAATTTACATGAGTAGTGGGAAGCAATCTGGCTCTAATGAAATGATACCAAGTTTGAGCTTTTTCATTTAATTTTTTTTTTTTGCAGAGTATAGTTCTTTTCCTTTATTTCCCATTCAGCCCCAGGGACAGCTATGACCTCTAATATCTCAGCCATGAAAGCATGATCATGCTTCTTGACATACTTTGCAAACTCATCTTTAGAGGCCTTAGGTAGGGAAAAGAATTCCCTAATAGCCTTGGGATCATAGGAAACTTTAATGCCTCTAACACTAACCTCAGTTTGACTTTCATTCAAGACTTCTGTATAAAACTCCCTCACCACATTGACATTAGCTGCATCCTTAGGATGCAGGTAGAACTGTTCCCAATGTTGGGTTTGCACTACCTCATGCACATATTCAGGATAAGAGGCATTTTCCTCAAATCCCTTGTCAGGGGTGGGGTCCCTAGCAAGCATAGTTTTCTCAAACCTTTCTATTGCTTGTTCACATGTGAAAGATGAGAGGGAAAAACTCTCAGGGTCAGGTGTGTGTGGTGTAAGGGTATTGAGAAATAACTCACACTAGACCCCACTGTGAGCACATGGAAAGTTGAGAGCAAAATTTCTCTCAATGGGTATGGCTTCAGGGATGGAGTTACCCCCATGTAACTTGTGAAAATGGTGTCTCAAAGTCCTAATACAACAGTGACATAGGGATATGCCAACTGTTGTCAATGGAAGAAAATTGATGTTGGGAAACATCCAGTACTCTAGTATTTTCGTTAAGCTGAAAGCATTTTCTGTTTTCTATTAAAGCATCCTAATGACATTTGAGTGAAGGGGAAATTGAAAACCCAACTCATTTCCAAATACTGATTTTAAAATCAATCTTTGTCACTTGTTATTTTTGTTCAACTTCAAAATTATTTTTCTCTTTTAAATCTTAAAAGAAAATCATTAAAAAAAAATATTTTACAAGTCTCTTAGTTTAGTCATTTTTCTAGGCAACAGTTAAAAAGTTCCTTTCATCAACTAAGATCACTGTTTTAAGAAGAGAAAATTTCCACAAAAATATTTTCAGTACACTACTTGAGAATAGTAGTAGCATTTAATTTTATTTTTTTTTATTTTTAGTTCTTTTAGCAATTACCAATTTATTTCAAGTTAGAACGCAAAGATCCTTGTGGGAACGATAACTGGGACTCACAAATACCCCTAATTGAGACTTAAAACATATTGAGATACCACATAGAACTATAGCTTATACATCTAATAAAGCTGAGATTCCAGATTTTATGTCATTTTGTATATTTATTTCTTTAGGCTATACTATATTATACACAAGAAAAATGAAAAAATGAAAAAATAAAATAAAAGTGAGACGTGGTAAACCGTAAAAATAATCTAATCAAACAAACGTAGCCTTAATATAGTTTGATGCAGTATTAATGCAGCAAAGGTGTCTAACCCATTATCCAAATTATTAACCAATTAATAATTACATATATGTTTGATTTTAAGATGAAATATGTTCGATGAGGCGTATGTTATTCCCGATTCTAACAGGATTGTTTCTGTACATGTGATTTATTAAAAAAAAAAAACAGAAAAAAAAAAGGAACTTCCGCCTTTGTGTATTCCTATGTCACTGCTAATGATTGATTCGGATAACGTGACAAGTGGTGAATTAAAACAATTGAAATCGTAACATACGCATATTGGAAATGAATTAGATTCGGTGTGAGAACGTAAGTGATGTTTTAAATAAAATTAATATTGACCACTGATCAAGATTTATTTTATTTAAATCTAATCTTGCTCACTTATTTTAAGAGTAAATTTTAGATATTTACACAGTTTAATAATTTTTTTTGTAAAATACCGATTTAACAATTAAACTTTAGAATATTCCTCTGATATAATCTTAATCATCATGTATGTTAAATATTCATAAATAAATAATCTTAAGTTAAAATAATATATATTTTATTGGCAGATATGAGCATTTTAAAACACAGAGTCGTAGTTATCTAAATTCATATTGAAAGATTTAAAACTAGAAGCAGAAAAAGCTTTGATACGAAGATTGCTCCCTCTGAGGCTCCACTTTCAGTTATCCCTAGTATTTTGAATGTTTGTGGAGCAGAGTGGAAATTTCCTTCTTCAAATTCATAAAACCTTTAATTATGAGCATTATTTATGATATTTTTGTCACATAAATAGTTATTGTCCCCCTCAAATATATAGACGCTTTTAATTATGAGCTTATTTTATCTGTTTTTGGCTATATAAGTGTCATATAAGAATAAAGGTTACAATTTTGCTTTCCCTTACAAAAATTATCTGAATCCCCCGTTTTGGATGAGTACTAAGAAAACGCTTGAGCTAGACAAAGCATGTTATCCAAAACTCTAACGACGCGAAAATTCAGTATAATGCATACATTAATTGATAAGCTTAGGCATCCTTACTAATTTCAACATGTGGGGATAAGGTTGATTTACGATAATCATGATATGCATACTCAGCTAGAAACAAGGATGGCCTACACAGCATAAGCCCGAGTCTCAATGACGTGCGTTCTTATATAAAATGTGCTACTTGGCATTCATCTCTTATTGGTAATAAAGAGATTTTGGCTAAGAAAATGACATGATAATCTCTATCTAAAATTGCAAGTTCCCCATAGGAAAGAGAAGCCTCGAGGTTCATGATTTTGTTGGCAGTTTGTAGCCTACCAAAAGTTAAAGATCAGATTCCTCTAGATTTAAATCAGAACAAGAAAAGGAGTTTTAACTGTGACTAAATTCCAACTCGGGATTAGTTTCATAACCGGTTTAAAGAGTTGAAACTTACGGACATACTCGAGTCAACTCACCTCAAAAAAATAATTAGGGTCCATATACGAAAAATTATTAAAAAAAAATCCTTGAAATTTAAACAAAATGATATGAAATTACATCATATATTACTATTCGTAATAACAAGATCTGTATTTATGTCGGTAATGATAATTGTATGTGACCCTTGAAAAGGCATGGTCCATTCTCCACAGCACTAATACGAAAACAGAAGTTGCCAAATATTTACTGTATCTTTTTTGCATGTCAGCATAACACGAGTCAGTGAGCAAAGCTGACAACATAGCAAGATGTGTTCTTTAATTTGGCAAAGTTCTGTGTTGTTTTTGTTTTTATTATTAATACATATAAGTGTTTGTCTAACTAAATTCGATGCATGAACCTAGTGAGCATGACCAAAGAACTTGATAAAACAAAGGACCCAGCTAGATTAGATTGGTTATATCTGCACCATATATATATAAATATGAATTTAAGTATTGTCCAATCTAGAAGAAAAAACTTCCTCTCTTCTACACTAAAGATTATATAGTCTAATTTCTCTCAAGAGCATTTTATATATAAAGCACCCTTTTGAAGCAGCAGCAGCAGAGAGAAAAATGGAAGGCCAACAACAGCTAAAAAAGTCCAAGGTTGTGAAAATTGAGTCATGGGAATCATGGGAACAACACATCACTGATGCTACCACTAAAGGCTACCCTGTGAGGCTCATCTTTTTCTTTAGGGGGATTCATTTAATCATTGTGCATTTGTAATTATTACAATTGGTTGGTTAATGAGTCACCTCTAGATAGCATTAAGGATGGATATGTAGTATTGGTCTATACTTAGCTCTCTTATTTTGCCTATAAAAAATTTGCAGGTTGTGGTTCATTTCTCTGCTTACTGGTGCATGCCTTCTATAGCTATGAATCCTTTCTTCAAAGAACTGGCCTCCACCTATCAAGATGTTCTCTTTCTGAACGTGGATGTGGATGAAGTTAAGGTAACTTTTGTGTAGAACCTGTGAGAATTGGAATGCATATAAAACTATTTAGTCCATATACCATCACATCTATGTGATTTTCAATTCATTTATTTATATGTCCGTGCCTCTCTAATTTGCAGAACATGCAATGCTATCCAATATCCACAGTGAATCATGTGAAGGGTTGTCCACAAAAATATTTCCATATTGTTTATTTTCAGATTCCAAACCCCACTTTGAGGTCAAAGGGGCTGTGTTTATATCAGCAAGCATTTATTCTAACCTAATGTCAAGGAAAAACTCATAGCTTTCAAGCCTTTAACTTATTAAGTATATTAATTGTTACTTTGATCCGTGACCTATAATAATATCTTTTATATGCTATCCTTTTTGGGTGGTTTCAAGGGACAAATTATATGCATAATTGCTGAGTATCACTTGCATTCATAATCCTCTTAACCTCTTTTTTCCTACTGCTCTGTGCATTATGTGCCTCTATCTAGAAAGTTGCCTCCACTTTGAGGTCGGATAGACTGTGTTTATATCAGCAAGCATAGTATTACTAAAGCATATTTCCATTCTAATCCCACTAAGAAATTCATATAGCTTTCAAGCCTTTAATTTATAATAATGGCATTATTGATCATAAATATTTTAAGTGTAACTTGTGTTTATTTGGGTGTTTTCAAGGGACAAATTCATAGTATTGCAGATGATATCAATACGTCACCAATTATATCTTTTTTGTAAATTTTTTTTGGGTGTTTTCAAGGGACAAATTCTATGCAAAGTTGCTGAGTGTCATTTGTGTTCATAATTCTTTTAACCACCATTTGTTCTGCTGTTATGTGCATTGTGTGACTCTATTAGGAAGTTGCCTCCAAGTTGGAAATCAAAGCCATGCCTACCTTTTTGTTGATGAATGGAGGAGCTCCAGTGGATAAAACTGTGGGTGCAAATCCTGATGAGATAAGGAAAAGGATTGATCGATTGATTCACCAAACTCATTACTCCAATTCAATATGATGCATGAAAACATTGAACAGAGTTTGCCACAGATGTAAATGAAGGGGGAAAAAAAATGAATAGGATTTATTTTATTTCATGTATGTTATAAAGTCCAAGTACTAATACTGGTTGATCATTTATTGTTTGTAAAATATTTGGTGTGAACATGGAATAGTGTGGATTTGATATGGCAAGTTGTTGTATTGTAAAAGGGTGTTTTAGTGCATTGAATTCATAATGCAATTTTTCTCTTTTAATATTCTTTGTAGTCATATGCAGTTTCAAACCAATTAGTTCTACCTGATTACCAATTGTATGTGCACGAATGAACTGATTTGTTTGAAACTTGACCTATGACTTGGTAATCAGGTTGTAGTGGCAAAATTGCTATGTGATAAATTGATAATCTTTGAACGAAAGACATAATCAGTTCATGGGCTAACTAGTTGAATTGGATGGTTCCTATCTATATTTAAAACATTGCTTTTGTGCATGACTTATCTTTTGAATGCATCCCTTTAAAATAATCAATACAATTGGCTCATTTTAAAATTATAAAATGTTTAATTTGAATTCATTGTAGTAAATTTACACTATTATCTAAAAAACAGAAACTGTCCTTATTCTTTTTGATATGCTAACAAGAAGCTGGGTAAGGAAACAAAAGTAGAATATATTAATGAAAGTAAAATGTTTATTGTACGAGTAATATTTATATACACTAGGATTAAAAGTGAACCTTACACAAGATATTCGCCGTTTAAAATATAAGTGAACTTATAAATGTGTGTATATGATAAAATCAGCATAAGGGTATTTTGATTTCTTTAACTATTTATTTTTTCAATTTCGTACCGTAACTTCTTTTTGCGTCTATTTAATAATTTAATGAAAAATCGTCAATGTGTTCTGGTGATGCAACACTAATTTTTTTTTTTAAGCTAGACCAATCAAGTTTTGAGAAAAACTCTTATAATAAAAAGCTATTTTTTTATACTAAAACAAAAGGCTGAAAATTAAAAGCTCCTATTTTTTTAAGCTCTTATATGTTTTTCTTAAATTGTGTGATTTTTTTTAAATGAAGAGTTATAAAAATAGAGAGAGATAATTTTCTTGAAACATGTGCTTTTAAGTAATTTTTAAATTAAAATTTTTATATAATTATGAAACAGCTTTTAATTTCTTCTTTTTAAGCTCTTTTATTTTAGCTTTAGCTTATAAGTAGCTTCTAACTAAAAAATAAGAGGATCTAATCAGACTCCACTTATGCGGTAGAGTTTTAGCTTCTCTCCTCCACTAAAGGAGAAGACTAATCAAATATTTTTTCATAAAAACTTTTTTTAAAAAATATTCTTTCAATGCAAAAAAAAAAAAAAAAAATATCATTTTAATGAAAAGCTCTCAAAAAGATCTTCTATATTCTAATTTATGGCTAATTTTAAAGAGGCAAATATATTTCGGGTGTTGCTGAATAAGACAATTTTTACAGCAACACATAGAAAGTTAAGATATGCATGTGAATCCTAGTTTTTTTTTTTTTTTTAAATGGCAGGATCCACATACAGATTCTAATATAAATGTGATTACCATAAAATTTCTTAAGGTTATGTTTATCTCATTTTACATGAGATAAACAATTTTCCTACACACACAAAAAAAGGTTGGGTCTTAGCACTTTTTTTTCTCTCTTCTCTTACCTGTAGGTCCAACTTATAATTTTATTTCTACAACATGAGGTAAGTATTTTTCTACAACATAAAAAAAGTATTTCCCAATTTCTTATTGGGTTTGTCTACTCTTATATTATAAGAGAGAGCATATCTTATGCTAAGACACAAAATGATAGGACCCACCACTAAAAAAGAGAAAAGAAAATAACAGCACATTTATCGAAGTGTTTATGGCATAAGATAGTAGTCTCCTATAACATGAGACTATATTTCCCTTTCTTATTAGTAACAACAGTAAAAATGATGAACCCTTTTAAAAAATACATGTGCTACAGAGCACCTTTTCATATCCAATGTAGGCCGTATTGGTATTATGTTCAAGTTGTTATATATATTTATTTTTTAATATATTAGAGTACTAAAAATGTTCTAAAAATAATTATTTATATAAATAAATATATGATAAATAAAAAATTGATAATTTTTGTAAATATCTTACTTATAAACTGATATATTAGTGCATAAACATTATGTCATCAATCAATCCAAATCAATTTAAACTGTGATGATGGAACTAAAAAATCGATAATCAAATTAACCGAAAATCGAAAAACCAAAAATAAAAAGAAAACTAACATATTTTAATTAGATTAGATCAGTTTTCGATTTGGTTGGTAAAAACTGATCCAATGCATTATGTATTTATTATTTTTGAAAGATGGTGACATAGAATCTTGTTATTTTATAGACTTGGAATCTTTGATGTTATTGATAGCAAACTATCTTGTTTTAGTTTTTATTGTCTATTAATATATTTTAACTCTTCAAAAGTTTTAAGACTTGTTTTAGTTTGAAGACTTGAATTTTCCAATGATTTGTAACTTTGAATGACTAGTGATTTATATGATCGAAATTTTAGAATTTTAAAAAATTCAGAAATATGATCAAACCGAAGGAATTGGATCAGATAATTTCTACTTCAAAACAAAACTTATCGAATCCAAAATGGAACACCCCTAGCAAACATATTTATTATATTTATTAAATATATTAAAATAATTATTTTAATTTTTTTGAGAATTTATCTTTTTAACTTTTAAATAATTTTTGTATTCATATAAAGTTTCCATAATAATAAAGAGATCTGCAATTTATATACCCTTTTAGAGGTGGCCAAGCAAGAAACCCATTCAATCTAGCTTAAAATGAGAAGACCCATCCTGACATACCAACTCGTTAACATATTGGAAAAGTAAAAAAATTTCAAAAAATATACTCCTTATAAATGTAAAAGATATTAAATGAAGAGAAAAAAGACATAAAAAATATCATTAATTAGTATTTTTTTTAAAATATAAAATATAAAAAATCAACCCATTAGCTCAACCGCTCTGCATAGGGTTGAACTCGTTTTGATTAAAATGAGTTAGCGGGTTGAAAATCTTAACTCAACCCATCATTTGGAGCGGATTATCCCGATATATTGGACTTGTTTTACAACCTAACCTTTTATAACAATTTTAATTAAAATTAGAGTTTATATAAAGTATTCTAGTAAACAATTTATTTATGTTATAACTTAAACCGTCAAATAGCTCTAAAGCTTAAAAAATAATGTAATTGTTAAATAAATTTGGTTTTATTATTTAATTCTTATATTTTAACTTTAACTTTTAAATTAAAAAAAAAATCTTAGTCAAGCAAGCTATAATAATGTTACTTGATGCTGGCGTGATCATTAGTCTTAACATTATCGGCGTTTTGACCATTTTGTCCCTTATTAATTAATTAATAACCAATTTGCCCTTCTCCTAGAACTATCCACCATCTTGCCCCCTTTTAGTCGATTAAGGTGAATATTTAGTCGACTACATAGCAAAAATACAGGAAATATGAACCCCGAAATTTAATCGACTACAAATGCAGCTTGATCGATTAAATTTCTGGGAGATTTAATCGACTAAAACACAATATTTAGTCGATTAAATTTCGCGGAAAACGTTTTTTAAAAACCCCCCATTTCGCGAAGGGGGTTATTTTGAAACCCTAGTCGATTACAAACCCCCAAGTCACCACCTCTTGAAGAACCGAACGAAACCCCTCTCATTGGCCGTCCGCTTGCACCATCACAACTATCCACCTTGTGAAACTGAGTTGGTAGGTAACGATTAAACCCTTGCATTGTGTTTTATGTTTTATTTTTTTATTTTTATTTTCTCCTTTACATGATTTTGTTTATGTTTTTTTTTTTCTGTTTTATGGTATAACGTTGTTTGATTTTTGTTGTCTTTAGTTATTGATATTGTTTCGTGTAATGAAGAACATTAGGGTTAGGGTTTTGATTTTTAATCTTTTCCACAGCCACCAGACTTTGGAATGGTGAATGTGGAGGAACACAGAGATTTGATATTGTCATTAGCTTATTTCTATAGCTTGGTTTACTTCTGTTTTTAGATTATTTTTTTGTTAATATACATGATTATTGATTTTTGAAATTTTTTGATATTCTTAGTGTCCGATTTTGAGTTATTGATATTGTTAATTCATATTGTTTCCACTTCCATTGTAGGTACGCTTGTTCAAATGGCTGCCCGTAGAAGATCAGACAATGCCCAAGATGAGAGACGCACGAAGCAACGACAAGACCGGCCGTCTTCGTCAAGGCCACAAGACGAAGAGCCTGCTATTGTCGACTTCCTGTTTGGATACTTGTTTGAGGATGACCCCTCGGTTCACGCTGCATTTGTACGTGGCCATGTGAACCGACCCTTATGTCCTCCGAAATCATTGGATACAACATTTTTTGCAGCGGAGGGATTTCAGATTGTGGGGTTGTTAGAGAAGGCCCATCTGAGGGTTTTGGCTGAGATGTTGTGTCCCTATTCAGAGCTGATGGTGCGGGCCTTCTACCATAACCTCAGCTACGTACAAGGTGAGTTGAGGTTGAGGTCGAGGGTCTGCGGAGTGGACATCATCATGACGACTCCGGTATAGTTGGAGATACTGGGCTATGACTTTGATGCTTCGCAGACTGTGGAGTATGATGCAGATAGCAGTGTAACAATTCCTGGATATTCTCGAGGTGATGCAGTGGAGGAGTCCAGGAGGCCTGATATCACACGTGGCCGTCACATTCACTATACGGTGGGGTTCCTCAGTGTAAAGGCTCGTATATTACACTATGTCATCACCCACATCCTGTTTCCGCGAGCTTTCAATCATTCCAAGGTGCTGGAACATGACATTCCTATCATGTGGGCTATCCAACATGTTGTTATGGTCAACTGGAGGCACTACATCTGTTGGATGATGTTTAAGGCCAAACATAAAGGTCATCTTCCATTCGCCTGTCTGGTACAGAGGATATTGGTTCACTTTGGTGTTCCCATGGACACTGAGCAGTTGAAGAAGACCACAGGCTATAATTATAAGTTCGGAAAACGTCTACTGGAGCAGTACAAGATTGCAAAGAACAAGGCGGGTGTGGCAGTTCACCGGTATGCCTGAGGTTGAGGTTCCTTATGTTGCCCCAGATGAACACATGGTTGAGCCAGAGGCGGAGGATGAGGAAGAGGAGGATGATGAGGCTGAGGTTGAGGAAATAGCTGAACCTGAAGGTGGATT